CAGGGAGGTGGTAGAGTCACCTTCCCTGTTGGTATTTAGAAACCATGTAGATATGGTACTTAGGGACATGGTTTAGCGGTGGGCTTTGCAGTGTTGGGTTTATGGTTGGACTCAATGATCTTAGAGGGCTTTTCCAACCTTAATGATTCTATGATAATATAGAACTGGTGTTACTGAAATTCGACACAGAGAACACAGTTATTTTATAATGTGAAAAGGAAATACTCGGTCAGGGTGTGCACGTTTACCTTCCAGAAATGCACAAAGAAACACTTTCAACTTAATAGCAGAAATCTCCAGTTACAATTTACCTTCGTTTTCATTATGAATATATTTGTCTCTCTGAGATTTTGTCCTGAATATTCTTTGTCTTCTGTGTGGGTGGATTTTTGACCATGTGAGTTGCATTTTCTGATGGATTCTGTTTTGGCTTGTTTCAGCCCCTGCCAACTTCCTGTTGTTTAGCCAGAAATCTGCAATCAGCCGAATGATACCAGATGATCAGCAGAGTCCAGACATCATCCTGCCTGTGCATGGTCTAAGGAATGTAAAGGCCATTGATTATGATCCTTTAGAAAAACTGATTTATTGGGTGGATGGACGTCAGAATATTATAAAAAGAGCCAAAGATGATGGCACTCAGGCAAGTTATGTGGTGTATGTAGTTTTGTGGCTGTCTTTTTGTGTGCTTTGTACTTTGTGCTTGACTTGCAGAGGGGGGATTTTAATTTATACACAAAGTGAAATATAGTACATCACATGTATCTGAAAGTATAAGCCTTGAATTTCACTCTTTAGTTAAGAGTGGGCACTGAAGTGAGGCAGACTCAGCATTTCTAGTCAGGACAGATAAATTCTATTCTGAAATCAGTAACTGTGGGTGCCAATTATGTGATTGTTGTCATCACTGTAAAGCTCTCTGCAAATCAAAATTCTCAGCTGTCCAAGCAGTAGTTAAACCCTGAGTGAGTGTAGGCTGGGTCCCAGACAGGGACAGGCTTCTCCACGTGCTTCATCGTTTTACTGAGTTGGGGACATTATTATTTCGCACTAGTTATTCACACAACAGTGGAAATAAGTGTACTCTTCTTCCAGGTAGTGTTATGTGTTACCACAGCTCAACTCTCAGGTCCAAATAAGAGATTCTTTTAAAACTGTGGTTTGTATGGTATCCTAAAACAAATTTAGAATGGGCAAGTTTCTATTTTCCTAGTTCTTGGACAGTCATATCTAAATAATATGACATGATATTAGTGGGAATGGACTGGTCTCTTCATGCATCTAGGGACTCAGAGGTTTTACAGTTTCCTTTCAAGGAAGGGATGCCAATTTAATTTTTTGGTCATTTCTTTTAAGATTGGGAGGAGGAGTTATGTTGAGATAAGCAGCTAGATGGGTTGTGGGTGAATTTTGATGGAGTTTTACTTTTGCTTTTTGGGATGATACTAGGTGCTAATTACTGTAGCCTAGCTTCTCTTTGGTACTTGCTAGGTGCAAATTGCAGTGGAGATTCGTTTGCGCTGTGGTTTCCTCTGCTGTGGTCGCACAGCTTTGAAGATGTAGATCCCCTGAAAATGACTTGCCAATTTTCGCTAACTATATTTACTTAATTTTGCTAAATGGTGCTGTTTGTAGATGATGCATATTGATTTCATACCTGGGTAATGTTACCTTTGATTTCAGGAAAAGAATTCTTTCTTTTTGTTCCTAGGCACGCTGTCAAGACAAAATAGGGATAAAGCTTTGTATAAAAAGCACAAAGCCTGTCCATCGCTGTGCAGAACCTGGGGGCTTAAAGCCAAATTGTGGAAATACAACTTTCCCAAGTGATGCTGCTCTGTTGGGTAACTCAGTTGACTCAAGCTGAGCATGTAATGGTGTCTTCAGCTTTCTTGACCCATCAGAACTTTTTCTGGTACTGTTTTTGTGTTTGGATTGGGAGCACTCCCCATTATCATGTCACCAGAAGCAGTCACCTTTGAAGGCTATTTTGATGTTTGAGTCCTGCCAGGAGTATTACTGTCCCAGTGGCACTGGGATTGGCTGTGCACTACTGGAGCCTGTGTAATTGTGATGGTTTCACCCACAGCTCAGACCATGAGGTCCTGCACTGTCCCCCCCACCCAGTGAGATGGGGAGAGAAACTCACCAAAGGGCTGGTGGGTTGGGATGAGGACAGGGAGGGCTCACTCACCACTGATGGGCACGGGCAAAACAGACTCCACTTGGGGAAAAAAAATCCATTTAATTTGTTCCCAATCAATCAGAGCAGGACAGTGAGACACAACAACCACATCTGACAGCACCTTCCCCCCCCCCTCCCTTCTTCCCGGGCTCCCATCACTTTGCTCCCCATTTCTCTCCCTTCTCCCCCAGGGCACAGGGGACAGGGAATGGGGGTTCAGTCAGTTCGTCTCTGCTGCTCTTCCCGACATGAGATCCCTCCTGTGGGGTAAAAGAGTCCAGGAACAAAGTGTTCCAACATGGGCTGCCCATGGAGTCACGGACCTCTCTGGGCTCAGCCCCCAGATCCAGCATGGGGACGTCCACAGGCTGCAGATGGGTCCAGCGCACCTCCTCCCCTCCACTTCTGGGGGTTCCCACCCTGGCTCTGGGGGGGTCTTGTTGCTCATCAAACGAGCACTCAAAAGTCACACCTGCCCTCAGGTTCAGCTTTCTGCTTCAGCATGGAGGCCTCTGTGGTCTACACATGGGTATCTGTTCCACCATTGAACTTCCATGGGCTGCAGGGGACCCCATTTACCTTCTCCTACTCCATGCCTGCTGATCTGAGTGTCTGATCTCAGTGTTCTCTGTTCTCCCCCTTCCTTCACCTTCCTCCTGGCAAAGATGCTCTCCTCTTTGTTTAGGCCGATGGTCATCTTTTGTTCAGGTCAATGACCTCTCCTCCAGGTTCTCTCCTCCTTCTTCTTTTCAAAACCAGTTGTTCCCTCATAAATATTGATTTGATTTACTGATTGGCTCATCCTAGGCTGGAGTCGGGTCAGCCTTGGAGCCAGAGAAACTTCTTGAAGCTTCTCACTGGGGCCATCACTGTAGCCCCTTCCCCAACTACCAAAAACAGCCCCCCACACAGTAATTTTAAACAAGGAACAGAAAGATGATTGGCCTTCAGGGTTTTTTTAATATGCTCTAGTGGTCTTCACAGAAATAAAGTATTGAAGTCTATGTTACTATTCAACAGAGTTAAAAAGTGTAGTAAATAGTATGTTGGTTATATTGGTAGAGGGGAGGGTAGTGATTCCAGGAACTTGGCCATAATGTCAAGTTTTGTAAGGTCCATCCCAGACATGGGGTGAAAGCAAGGTGATGTGGTTAGTATGGGTGTGAAGTGGAGCTGTAGCCATTTGACATGGAAGCAAACAGAAACAAGTTTCATTAAAATATTTTAGTTTTTAAGAGAAACCAGGACTTAAAGAAAATCAGTGTCTACTGCACTACAAAGAGTAAAGTAAGGAGACTTTGGCAAGAGAGGGAGATTTGTTCAGCTGCCTGTATAACGGCACAGGGCTGGCCGGAGGGCTGCCTTGTTCCTTGCATTGTTTCATTCAAGATTGTTCTATTCATTAACATTCACTATTGTCATCTCCTGCTAATTAATTCTACTTATAGGAGGCCCCACAACTGCTTTCTGGGGAGTTTTGCATCATCTTACAGATTTTGTCCAGATGTTTTTTCCTCTAATCCACAGTTTGAATAAAATCTTTTCCTGTTAAGCTTTATCACATTTCTCGTGTTTGTTGTTTCCTTGTGGGTGGTTTTAGGTGTTTCTGGACCATCAGGTAGGTAAACCATCCTGTCTGTGCAATCGGTGTTCTTCAGTCAATCATCAGAATAATTACTGGGAACTGTTCCCCATATGTTGTCTTGCAGCCTTTCACTGTCATGAGTACTCCAAACCAAAGCCAGACCCCCGAGAAGCAGCCGCACGACCTCAGCATCGATATATACAGCCATACCTTGTACTGGACCTGCGAGACCACCAATTCGGTCAATGTCCACAGGCTGAATGGCGAGTCAATTGGGATGGTGCTGCGAGGGGACCATGACAAGCCCAGAGCCATCGTGGTGAATGCAGAGCGAGGGTGAGTCTCCTGCCTGTGCCTTATACAGAACACTCTTGGGAGGTCTCAGCTGTGTGTGTGGATCTGGTGTTGCATCTGTATGTTCTCAAAAGGAGAATTTTTGCATGTTCAATTGTTCAGGGTTTAGGCGACTGCTTGTCCACTTCTGGCTTTGAAAGGAGTCCAGCTTTCTCTTCCCGTCTTCTCCCTTGCTGCCTCCTTCACACAACCACGTGGTTGGTTATAGTGAGGAGCTAACCCAAGTAGGAACCACCTTCTTCACCCAGAGGGTGGTGGAGCACTGGAACAGGATCCCCAGGGAGGTGCTCATGGCACCAAGCCTGACAAGATTCCAGCAGCATTTGGCCAAGGCCCTCAGGGACATGGTGTGAATGTTGGGATTGTCCTGTGCAGGGACAGGAGTTGGACTGATGATCCTTGTGGGTCCCTTCCAGCTCCAAACATGCTATGATTCTCCTGTTCAATGCGTGAGTGCAACAGCCCTACCACCTTGTAGGAAAAAAAGGAGAGTTTGCACTGTGTTTGTATCAGCTGTGGATCTGGCTCATAAATATTTGGTCATCATGAAACAAATATTTTTAGGAGAAAAAAAAAGGGACCTCTCATATGATACAACCATCAAACATGCTATGATTCTCCTGTTCAATGCGTGAGTGCAACAGCCCTACCACCTTGTAGGAAAAAAAGGAGAGTTTGCACTGTGTTTGTATCAGCTGTGGATCTGGCTCATAAATATTTGGTCATCATGAAACAAATATTTTTAGGAGAAAAAAAAAGGGACCTCTCATATGATACAACCATTCAGGTAACAAACCCCTTATTTTCTATAGATTTTTAAGTTAGTTCTGCCTTGATGTGTATCTCAAAAACTTCTGAAATGAATTAAATCAGATAGGACGCACTAGAGTGATTTCCCGCAGGAAGAACATAACTTTGTTTTGGTTAGATTCAGCAGACCCCATCCCCAGCTTCATTCTCAGAGGTCAAAGATGGTCCTTTACTGTCCTCTTTAATAAGTCTGATGCTTAAATCCCAATTTACTACTAAATGGCTTACCGTGTACTTGACAGATGTTGAACACAGTATTTCTCAACTGTGTGGATACAGTAGTACCCAGAGACTCTTCTCTGGAGCATTTATAGGGTTGGTATTTGTAGTAGTTTAACTTTGCTGGCAGCCAACACCACACAGCCACTCACACCTTCCCCTTCCCAACCCTCCACAGGGGGAGAGAATTGGAGGGCAAAGGTAAGGAGACTTGTAGGTTGAGATAAGAACAGTTTAATAATTGGAGTAAAATAAACATAAAATGATGATGATGATGATAATGATAATAATAATAATAATATACATAAATGAGTGATGCTCACCACCACCAATAGCAATCCCAGAGGAGTGAAAGGAACCCCGATCCTGAAACTGCAATCCTGGAAGAGCGAGCCTGAGTGATTCCCAAGAGAATCCCCCAGCTTTCCAGTCAGCCCTGGTTAATGTACTGCCCATGATGTGATATGAGATGGAATATCTCATTGGCAGAGCCAAATGTCAATTCTGTGTTTTGCTAATTACTGCACTTCCCCCTTCCAAATCCTTTGCACTTGCAAAGGAACCAAACAGGATGACCTTGTACTTTATCAACATTTTTCTCATAACAAATCCCACACTGAAACCAAAACACAGTGCTTTCTAGCTACTAAGAAGAAAATTAACCCTATCCTAGTGAAACCAGGACAGTTTTTTAAACAATACTCAGTGTACTCTTCACAGTTCAAAAGCTCACGTAGGGACAGAGGAATTAGAGGAAGGCTTCTGATCTTATTGGGACTAAGTCACTTGGACACAGTTTATATTTATAAAAGCTTGTCTGCTTTCTCCATTAAAATGGGAGTTTGGGTTTGTTGATCCAGAACTATCAACTTTTCTAGCTGGGTTGTCAAATGGTTTAAAGAGAAATCTGATTTTAAATTAAAGGAGGAAAAGATGGAGGAGAGACTATGCGTACCTGGGAGAGCTGGATGATCTGTGTACTGAACTACTTCTGCCATAGTTCCAGAAATCCTCCCCTCTGCCTCTCCCTTGGCTGCACAGTTGTATCGTTGCCTCTCTTCCTTGGGCCACCCCAAAAGGCTGTGCAGTGGTCAGTCGCTGTACTGGGGAGTTTGCCCATGTTTTCCACCACTGAAAAAATGGTGGACTTATCCCTGAGGGAGTTCTCAGTTCATCACGGGGGGCACAAGCCCTTTTTTCCCCATGCAGAGGGAGGGCAGAGGCTGCTGCTGTTTGCAGCTGAGCTGGCTTGGATGGATACAAAGAATTAATGGAACTAATAGATCAGGAACATGCCATCCTCAGTTCATAGAATCATAGAGTCATCAAATGGTTTGGGTCGGAAGGGACCTTTCAAGGTCATCTAGTCCAAGTTGTTCTTCCTTCTATGATCTTACTCCTCTCAAGTTTGGTAGGAACTTCTGTTTGCTGAGAAGGCAGCCCAGAAGGAGAGGAGCTGACAGTTAATGGTTTTTGTTAGCAAGAGCTGCTGGGCTTTGATTCACAGATGGGGACAGCTTTACCCAAAGATGGTTGCAGAAGGTCTCTTCCAAGCCTCTGCCAGTGCAGCGGTACTAAGTGCTGAGGCGTTTTGTGGATGGTGTGTTAAGGACAAAAACTATTAATTTCAAGCTGTTCAACATGCCACTTAGCAAACATTTGGGGTTCTGCAGATGACAGATCTGGGAGCAGCAGTCACTGCAGTCATCCCTGTGTGACTCGTTCCCACTTACAATGAGAACCCATGTGCCAAGGCGAGTGTCCTCCCTTGGGAAACTCTCCACTAAGCAACTGGTGTCTTTTTTCTCAGGTACATGTACTTCACCAACATGCAGGAGCGAGCTCCCAAGATCGAGCGTGCAGCCCTGGATGGCACAGAGAGAGAAGTGCTTTTTACAACTGGGTTGATCCGACCGGTAGCGCTGGTGATTGACAACAAACTTGGAAAGCTTTTCTGGGTGGACGCAGATCTGAAGCGCATCGAAAGCTGTGACTTGTCAGGTATGTGGTATGCGGTTCAAACATTTGGAGCAGAGTGTGTGTGTGTATAGGACATCACTCCCTCTTTGATGCTGACCCCAGTAACTTCTGTCTCCACTGTTGCCAGTTCTGTGTAGGCAGTCACAGATAAAGATTGCTGGTGGTCTCCCATCTTTGATGTGTTTGGAATAAACATGTCTGTCATGATTGTCACCCTCCAAGAGAGCCATTTGGCTTTTGATGTGTTCTGAAAGCAGCTCTTGCAAGATCAGATTTAAATAGGTGTTGCCAGTCATGGAATCCTTGATTCACCTCCTCCGTGCCCTTATTTTTTCCTTATGGTTTGAAAAGTTTGCATAACTCTTCCATTTTTCTTTCTCTGGACTTTACAGCTTAGTAAATCAAGGTAGCTTGAAAAACAAACAGGAAGGGAACAGCTTTCTTCTAAGATGGATGATAAGGCAGCTTATCTGGAATACCAGTGTTGTGAAACAGCAGAGAGCAGTCAACTCAGTGCAATTGTCCCATATTAGTAAAATAAAGCATTAGTCCACGTCCATAGCAACAGACCACATGGATCTTAGAAAGCCCTGGTCATCATTGACTTCTGAAAGCCCTTGATAGTGCTGAAGAAGTGGAGAAATAGGCTCACTCATCTGGTGAGCAGTGTAGCACAGAGGATCCAATGGCCCTTTTTGACTCATAATTCATACTCAATTAATCATCATCCATGTATCAATGCAACTCCTAAAGAAAGTGCAGAGAGAAGTGAACTAGTGTGAGGGAGTAGAAGCTGAGCTCTTCTAGTGATTGGCATCTGCCATTAAAAGGCTGATTCTACAATTTTTGGTGCCTCTTCTCTTCTTGCCATGTAGTCACATCCTTCCCTGGTGTTGCAGTGAGGCAGTGAACTAAAACTGGAGAAAATTGTTCATTTTTTTATGAGGACAGTTCAATTTTGAGCACCTGAAATTGACCCAAGGTCAGACTGGTGTGTCTTCTGCCAGAGAGGGGATAAAAACATGAAGCTGGAACTGGGAGGTAAAGCAGCCCTTGCCTTTCATCAGTTATTGAGCTGGATGGGGGGGTGTCATCAAATTGCCTGTGTAGCCACAAAATGTCCAATCCAGGATAGGCATCAGAGAACCTATAAAAATTTGTAGGAGAGAAGAAGATAGGTGAGAGACAAAACTTGACCTATGAAACAGCTCAGAAGAAAAGTTTGAGAAGAAAAGGTTGCCAGAGTGGGACACATATCACACCATGCATCAGAGATACTGAGAGGGTTTTGTCTAGTGATGAAAGGAGACCTGCTGTAGGAGGAAATCCAAAAGTAAAAGGTCAAGACAGAAAAGCAGCAGATCATGCTGTTTTTGTGGCTGAAGTGGTACCCACAAACACAAGAGAGAGAGAGAAGAAGAGGCACCAAAGAAGAGTTTGTGGAAATCATATCTTTTGGGAGAGGGGGAATGTACCAGGGAGAAGTTGATAAATGGAGAAGGGAGGACAGTATCAATAACTAGTGCTGCTGGTGATGAAAAGGTGGCCCCCATGTGTAATAGGAAGCCATATTACTTAATGAAACTGTAGCACACAGTGGTACTAGCTACGCCTAGGACTTCTTGTGTGTACATAACCAGCCTTTTTTCTGCTTTGATTTAGCACACACACAAGGTTGAGTCGGCTGAACATGAGTCAGCAGAGTGCCCAGGTGGCCAAGACGGCAAAGGACATCCTGGCCTGGATCAGTACCAGTGTGGCCAGTAGGACCAGGGAAGTTCTCTTCCCCCTGCACTGGGCACTGGTGAGGCTGCAGCTGGAGTGCTGGGTTCAGTGTTGGGCCCCTGAGTCCAAGAAGGACATGGAGGTGCTGGAGCGTGTCCAGAGAAGGGCAACGGAGCTGGGGAAGGGTCTGGAGCACAAGTGTGAGGAGTTCCCGGCTGAGGGAACTGGGGGTGTTGAGCCTGGAGAAAAGGAGGCTGAGGGGAGACCTTCTGGCTCTGCCCAAGTCCCTTGGAGGAGGGTGGAGAGAGGTGGGGGTGGGTCTGTTCCACCAAGGACCAAGGGACAGGACAAGAGGAAATGGGCTCCAGTTGTGCCCAGGGCAGTTGAGATGGGATGTGAGGAAGAATTTCTTTGCTGAAAGGGTTCTGAGGCATTGGAAGGGGTTGCCCAGGGCAGTGGTGGAGTCCCCATCCCTGGAGGGATTGAAGAGTCGTGTAGACACAGTGCTGAGGGACATGGGTTAGTCGGGGACTGGTCAGTGTTGGGTTCATGGTTGGACTCGATGATCTTAAAGGTCTTTTCCACTTGAGGCAACTCTGGGATTGTGTGAGTCACAGCAAATGGGGCGGGCAGGGGGCAGGTGCTTTGTGCTCGTCACGTTACAAGTTAGAAGGTGGACTCTGTCCTTGCCCAGTACAGCATAAAGTGCAGAGGAGTCTGTCATTTTTGGTTTAGATCTAAGTCTTGAATTAATAATACCCAACAATAAGACTTAAGTAAACTGCTAGATGGATAAATCAGCAGCTGGGCTGTCACACGCTGGTAGTTGTGCCCTGTGATTGCAGCTTCCTTTGCCTGCATTCTTCCTTTTCATGACATTGAAACTCCATGTTAAGCATATCTTTGTATACTGGTTATATATTTTAATCCAATTCTTTTAGCTCTTTTTACAGGGAAAAATAAACTTTCTCTGGTTCATACTGAACCAAAGCTTTCAGTGCACATTGAGTTGATGGGGTCACAGCTAAAGAATCAAATGCTGTAGGTAAGATAAAAGCAGGGGAAAGCTACAGGATGAAGAGAAAACAAAGTTTATTAACTAGAAGATATGTATCATGTAGCCAGAAAACTATGGTTGTATTTCACAGAATCACAGAATCATTAAGGTTGGAAAAGACCTCCAAGATCATAAAGTCCAACCGTCAACCCAACACCACCATGCCCAGTAAACCATGTCCTGAAGTGCTATGTCTGCACATCCTACTGAGCTCACTGTAATTTGATTCACTGAGCTATTGATTTCTTAAATGAGTTAACAGCATTTTTTCAATTTTAAACTCTTTTGCAGTCTTACATCACAGCTTCAGAAGTTTGACAGCCAAAGTCATGTTGGCTTGAATTAGTTCCTCTAAAAATATTTTCTGAGCAAATCACTTTAAAATGGGTCTATATTAGCAAAAGGATTTTAGTGTAAACTGAAGCTGCTGAATAAATTGGACCAAAATTGTGTATAGCATCCTTCATGCTAATGAGACCGGCCTAGACAACCTTATCCCCTCATAGGCTTGGGGAGATGACATGGTTACAGAGGTTTCTGAAGCTTGTACCTCACCCTGATTAACAGCATCCTGCTAAATCATGGAATAACCTCAGCTGTCCAATGCTTAACATTCAGAGAGGGATGAAAGAACTATAAACATGTCTAACTGTTTTCTTTTTGAGGTTCCTGAATTTTTCCGTTGGAGTTGTTGGTGATATTGGGAGATTCATAAACCATTTGTAAATAACTTCTCTCCCACACCAGTCAATTAAAAAGCACTGGTTTATATTATTGTTGAAGTGACTGGAAAAGCTATAAAACTGCTGCGGTGAGAACATGCTTTGTTTTCAATTAGATTTTAAATAGAGGAATTGTGTGTCCTTCCAGCTTAATTTCTTTACATTTAACTATTGATTTCCATCTTGAAAAAACCACACATCTGTTTCATGCTGGGAATCAAAGTATTTAATTACTGTGGAAATTCAACACGTTTTCTCTTCTTTTCTCTAACCGTATCTGTTGAAAATACCCTTTTATTTATTTGGATCGAGTTTTTAATTTTGAACATTCTTCTAAATAACAATTTAATTGTATCATCCAGTGGTAAGGGTGCCCTTTGCCTCTCCTTTTAAAATTATTCATTAATAATTTAGACTGTCATTTACTCAAGATGAAATCCAACATAATTATAATATAGATTAATCACCTTATCCAGTGCTATCTCCAGCACCTTCCCAAATCACCAGTGTTCAGCTTTTTGTAGATGAGGGAGAAAAAGGACGATGCTTGAAGTACACCCCAAAAAAACATTGACTGTAGCCTGGTTTAGGCCTGGATTTGGGAGGCTGGGATTCTAGCAGGACTGGTCACCAGTGTGGCCTTACACCGCGTGGCATTCAGGATCTCCTTCAGGAAACCAGCTTGCCTTTTGTATCTAAATTCTTGAAAAACCACAAAGGCAGAAGGATTTTTTCTTTATATCGAGTTGAAATGAGGTTTTCCTATTCTTGTGTCTTGAATGCAGCCGAAAATTGCACTTTTGGGTGAAAATGTGAGGCTTAGTTTGGCAGAAGGACAGTTGTCTGCAAATCCAGTGACACTGAAGTTCATAGGAGCTGAGGGTGCTCTGCAGGTTGCAGGGCAAATGCAGAAGGTGCTTTGTTCACCAAGAACCTTCTTCTGGGAAACTGTTTCCGAGTATTTCTAAATTTTAAGGTCTGTTTAGAAGACAGATAACATCTCAGGAGCTGCACTGCTGGAGAGTGGTACCAAGGATCAGGTTTAGTGAAATGGGTGCAGGTGCATCTCTTCTGTTCTTTTACAAGAGTAAAATCTGGTGGTACTTTGGATGTATGTACAATAACAGACCATCAGATTACAACCAGGACTGTTCTGTCACATACAGTTGATGCATATTTCTGCTGAAAATGGAATGTGTGGTGGATTCACTTGGCCAGCAGCCAAACGCAGCTGCTCGCTCAATCTTCCCGGTGAGGGAACAGGGAGGAGAACTGGGGGGCAAGGGTAAGGGGACTCATAGGGTGAGATAAGAACAATTTAATAACTGAAATAAAATAAAACTTAAAATAATAATGACAATAATAATGGTAATAATAGGAATAATAAAATATGCAAATGAGTGACACCCAGTGCCATTGCTCACCACCCGCCCACCAAGCCCGGCCCGTTCCCAGATCACGATCCCGCAGGAGCCACAATCCCGACCCGAAACCGCAATCCCGGGAGAGCCAGAGCCCGAGCCAAAGCCAGAGAGAGCAAGAGAGGAAGAGCCCCTCATGGATCTCCTGCCCATGGGGGACAGGAGATGGAACAGCCCCTTGGCAGAGCCCAATGCCCATGGAGCTGATCCAGTTCAATATTCCTCGCCCCGGAGATCTTGCGCTTGCAGAGGGACAAACACAAAGTCCTTCAGTGCCAGGGACACAAATGCAACATGGGGATGTTCTCAGCGTTTCTCTCCTGACAAATCCCAGCTGAACCCAAACCCCAGCGCTCTTCTGGCTGCTGAACAGAACCAGCTCTGGCCCAGCTCACACCAGAACAGGATGAAATGATGATGTCTTCCTCATGGGTTTGGAAACAAAAGAAATACAGGGCTAAAGAACTAAAAGCCCAATTGCAAGTCCAAGCAATTCTGATCTCTCTACCAGTAAATCTGGTTTGAATGCACGCTGTCTGTCATGACAGTCGAGTGAGGGTCATTGCAGGTGGTAATTTTATGTGCAAGACTAATAGAACCTGTAATTGAAATAAATGTTACATACTCATGCTTGTCTGAGCTCTGCGTAATTTGTGCAGCAAATTAGTTTTAATCCAGTGCTCATAGCATTTTGATTATGTATCCAGATTCCATAATATCATTTTCACAGAATCACAGAATGTTGGGGATTGGAAGAGACAAGCAGATATAAGGTCTTTATTCCAAAATAAGAGAGCAGAAGAAGCACCAAGTTACAATTTTGTTTGATTCCTCATTTTTAAAATCAAATCTATCCAGTATACATAAGCATATACAGCCTCAAAATGGTTTCTGTGAGTTAATAGAATAATTTGGAATCTCTTGTTCACCCTGGACAAGCATAACAAAAGCAGCAGTTAAATGTTGCTAAGTGTAGGGCAGCACACAGTAGAAGTCTGCAAGCAATTAAAGTTCAAAGCAGCTGTAAAGGCATTTTTATTTTACCTGATTTTTACACGTTGACTGAGAGCAGATTTTTCCACAGTTCTGTAGAGCGTTTGGTAGCGTTCCTGTTCACGAGTGTAGGGAGTTACTTGGAGTTTGGGTTTTGTGGCTGGTTACTGAAGGAAAAAGAGAAGGTGAAGAAAGAAGTGTGGCTGTTAGAACGTGAGCGTTTCTTTTGTGGTCCTGTCTCTGTGGTTGTGATGTACCAGGTTTGTGTCCTGGCCTCTTGCTTTGCCTGATGAATGTGTTTTATTTGAGTGACAGCAGTGAAGCTCACTGGTTAATGACAAAACAAGGGGAAATGGGTTTAAGCTGAAAGAGGGGAGGTTTAGATTAGATATTAGGAAGAAGTTCTTC